TGACTCACAAGCAATGTTCGCCTGCATAACAAAATTGTTAAGACGGTAGAATGTGATCAGTAATAATGCGGCTCTATATTTTCAGAATTCTTCAGGCACATACAATTTTGCAAAGCCATATAGTGTGAGCATATACTAAGCATGTCCATTAATGGACTGCACGCACCAGGCCCTACTGCCAAAAGGAATTGCTGATATAATGGCATGCAATGGATTAATTACATGCTGTAACACCTCTACAGGTTCGAAATGTTGGCAAGATCACAATGAAGTCCCAACTTAGCCAAGATCAATACAAGTCACTGGCGCCACTACCAGTGATCACACGCAGTTCAAGCCCCCCCCCCCCCCCCCCCCATTCACATCTGCTTTTCTTTTGGGACTATCAAATTGCAGGTTTTCTCTCAACTTCCGCACACATTTTCGTTCATAACACCGCATTTCGCCATGACCCCCTCAAAACAAAGTCCCACCGGGGTTCATGGTAATAAGGCTCAATAGGTTGCATTTGTAGAATACAATTTGTCGTTCAAAATTCAAAGTTGTCGTACACTTTGTGTGAAATTTTGAGTGAAATATACTTCCAAAAGTACTGTAATGTTTCCCTTATTTTATAATGCCTTGCTAACCCATAAAACCGTGCAAGGTTCTGTGCTCTGGTACACAGGGCGCCAACCGAGCTGTCTGTAAGAAATATGCCAGTAGAAGAAGAAAAAAGGCCAGCAGGGGAAAAGGCAGATTTGCCGTCGCGTCTTTTTATAACTTTCGGGAGAGTATCCGTTTTTTGGGTGCCGTACTTTTTTGCAGACAGTGGCATTCCCTTTTATAACATTGGCCGGTGGCCTAAAAATAAGGAAGAATGACCCGTTCACGACTTGTGCCGCAACCCCGAAAGTGCTCACGCCTACGTTCGCGACACGCATTCAGCAGCGAAATCTTGTTAACAGCCAATCATCTTCCGCGCATTGTATCATACGTGCGCATCATCGCTTTTGCGAATGTATCAGCGGCCATGCTGTCTTGACCATAAGCAGAAAACAGCCTGTATTATGACCGCGATTGCATGATGTTGCTGTGACGTCATTAATGCCAAGGCAACTTTGAAGTAGGCTCCCAATAAAACTTTTCACACTTTTGCGGGTTTGTAACTCGGGAACCAGAGCGTTTTGGGTCTTTAAAAGGACATGACAATAAACTGCATCAAAAGGTCCTCAAGATGGTTATTTCAGTTCAAAACGCCATACAAATAAACATTCCCTTTAAGGGTCTCTGTCGCCTTTTTTACCAGCATGGTGCGTATGCATAAGATATAAAACAACCGATATGAAAATAAACTATGGCAGAATCCATGTGCAATACGTCCCAGCAGACGGAATTGCAGTCGCAGGTTGTTTGCAAATTGCGCTTTGGAGTCTTGTATTTAAGCCTATTCCAAAACCTGGCCATTCTTGACTTTGAAAGCTCGTCCAAGAAACCCACGTTGCGAAGTAGAGAGACCCAGTTTATCATTTCGGCGCCAACTTCTTTTCAGTGGTAAACCTTCTATCTTTTTGACAAGCACCTTCCCTGGTCATAGAACTCCTTACATGTTTGCAGCATCTGAACAGTGAGTCGAGCAATAGCTGGCTATGATTCGCACTACGATAAAGTAGCAATGCGGTTTAGAGGGGACATCTTCACTCGGTGATGTCAGTTCCTAGTCAAAACCACTGACAAATCGAATAATTAAGGTTTCGATGCTTTGGCATGCAACGTCACGTACACAAGACGTTTTTCACATCCAAAGTTTGTTTGTAAATTACTCATTTAATACCTTAAGGAGCATTTAGCTAGCCACAGAGACGGAAACGTGCCGGTGTTTAAAAGGATGCCTAGGATCTAAGTAAAAATGCGTATTCGATAGCATCGTGCAAGTAAACTTTGAGGGCAGTGTGTTGTGCATTGAAGCATACCTCTCGTATGTGTTTGTTTAGTCCGAAACAAAACAGCCTATGGACGAACATTAGGCCGAGGCGATCCTTCGGTTTATCACGCGTGCTTTTCGTCTATTTTAAATTTGAGGCCTTTCATAGCAGAACGTTGTTATATGTGCCTACATCCAATTAAAGCGATACTGCACTGTATCGTGCTGGAGTCATTCGCATGAACCCTATACCAGATAAAGTTCCAAGGAACGGAGCGTCTCGCATCTACGCATTACACGTGCACTTGTTTCCCGACCAGTGGCTCCCCACCGACGTTTGGTGCTCCGACCGTTCAGCCGACAGCCTCTGATTCAGTGCCGGTGGCAACATAATCCATCCAGTTAACTGCGCTTTCGGGTGGGTCCCCACTGATTAGGTTTCAACTGGCTCAATTTCCGTGAACTACACTCACCTTTGTAGCTTGCTACTGAAGTGGCTCCTCAGGAATCGAAACCTTTTATCAATTGGTATTCATGAGGTGCCTGTGCTTGCAAGTCTTTGTTACGGTCCAGCTGCAGGGCAAACCAAAGTCAGATCCGCGTATTTCGTATTCAGGTGAGTCTTTCAGTGCTTCTCAATATACGGACGCCGATGAACCTTAGTAACAGTGTGAAATGTGGCATTTTGTTGCCAGGTATAGACCAACCTCGTGACCGAACTCATTCGGCTGTGCTTAGAGCATACGTGAGAGAAGGTGCGTTCAAAGTTAACGCATCAGGTCAGAGCAGGTTACTGACCTAAAACGACTCAGGCCAACATTTCGTTTTTAGCAGCATACCGCCTTACATAATCCTGACGCTTGTTCGAATGGCAAAAAGGAGCAATCTCGTAGCTATTTGATCACCTCGGCTTTTTAAAGGTCAAACAAGTCACTGAATTTAACTGAAAAATATGAAAGAACACTTCTGCTATTGTTTCGATAAAGGCATGCTGCAGAAATATCAACCCAACTGTATCTCAATTCTCCTGTTTTTCTCCGAAGAATGCGGCCAATACTATTGTCTTATCTACGTGAACAATGTTCCTCGCCAATGCACTGAACAATTTACTAAAAATGATGACCTTTTGCATAGAACAGGTATCTAGCTTCACAACGGTTGTATGAGGAGGCTTTGCAGCACTTAAGACACGAATTGGGAGTTTAATCTTAACTGACCTGATTTGACCTCAAGATCCCTAATCCAGGAACCTCAAATTTGGGAAAAAGTGAGTTCACGTACACGCCAACCGACCCTGGGGATTCGGTGTCTTTAGCTATGTTAGTTTCCGAGATTGGGGGGGGGGGTCAATTTGATCCCCACCCGAGCGAAAAGTAATCAACCGGGCACCCGGTCGCGTGTTAGCAACATGATGTCAATTTTTTTACACTCCCGAGTGTCGGTTGTACTTCTGTGGAAAAGGACTCTGCTGTAGGTGGGGCATCACTATCACTTATTGAAGATGCTAAAGTCATGCCTGTACAGAGTTGTAAGAGGCTTAAGGAAATTCGCCGCAACAAGTTTGTACGGAATGAGCTAAGACAGCATCATTTAGGCATCACATAAGCTCGTTTTATGAGACATAATCCGTTTTAAGGATTTTGTCCGACCAAATATTTTGTTCCGTTAAAACTGTTCAAAGTTGCCCGCCGATTTTCACACTCGTTCAGCACATTTGTTCTTGCTAAGCCGTCGCAGAAGGCAGGGAGGGGGGTGCCTTACACGCGTCTTCCAGCAAGGAGTATTCTTCCCACTCGACGCTTTTCTATCGTGAGCAATAGCCCTATGGGAGATAGTTGCTACTTGGTGGTACTGTCACTGTCAGCGTCTCAATGCATACTTTTACACAAGAAAACAGAGCAAACGGTGCCCTATTTCAGCTGCTCGGGTTTTGTTGAAGTTGAAAACCAACTCTTTGCAGCCCCAATATTTTCCTCGCGCTCAGAGGCACGAAAGTGTCCGACTTCCCTGGATAGTCCTCCCGCTGCAGGGGCTGGCAGACGGCCCGCCGGCCCCAAGCGCCCAGTGCATTGCCGGCCAGCCCGCTCTGCAGGCAGGTACTTGCTCTGCAGGACCACTCTGTCATTGGTCTCATGGGCAGACGCGGCCGGTATCGCGAGCTGGCCGAGGGCTGAGAGTCAGAACCCCTGCCTGCTGCTCGCCTCAGAAGCCACATGAGTCGGTTCTTTGTAGCCCCTATGGTAGGGCGCTCCGCGCTTGCGCTGTCGGCGTGCACACACGCCGCTGACGGGCCGACTGGCGGCGTGTCGACAATCCTCGCGCTGGTGAGGGTCCACGCCGACGTGGAGCCGGCGGAAGCGGCGGTCACCCGCCGTCTGCTATCTTGGGACATAATGGAGATAAAGAGACAACTAACATTTTGTTAGATAGGTTACGAAACTGCATACAGCTTGTAACGTTAATAACTACTAAGCTTATGTCCAACATGAAGTTAATGTTGCAGTCATTTTAGGTCATCTACCATATGTCGTCCACTTCTGTGCGATTGATCACCAAATTATCTTTTTTGTCTGAATCTGTAAGCAGCTGACCGGCTTGGTAAGCAAGCCTTGATACTGTGCCCAATCCACAACCGTATTCTGCTGGCGTTTTACCGGAATTAACCAGCTGTCGAGTTAGCCACATTTCAAAGTCTACCTACGTCAGTGGCCTACGAAGCCCTTTCGTGGGAAAATTACCATGCCCATGTGGAGAGAACAATGCCAAACCTAAAGACGAGTAAAAGCGAATAGATTGTGCCGAAAGAGCGCACATTGAACGATTGTGTGACACTACACTTTCAGCTGTGTTGACGAACTTGAGAAGCAAATATGTCACACAGGTGAAGAAGCTAATTAAAATGGATAAATCGACACTTACCAGGACTATCGAACATTAAAATGTGCACTTCCACGAAATATACCGTGCTCTGACACAAAAGGACTATGGGCTCTCCAAAAACGAATAAGTGAAAATTTATGGTGGTGGTGATGTGATAAAGCTTAATTCAACTTTACAGTTGGAGTGCAGTGCCTTACGACCATGTTTTGTTGCAGGAAAATGCACTTCTCACTGGCTGGCGTAGTGACATGTGCGCTGACCTGTCTTCTAACGTCGTCGTTGGTGGAGGCGGCGCCCATCGACGGATGCAGGCCTGAGTTCTTCGAACAGCTTCCTCTGCGCACGCAGAAAATGTGCACCAAAATATTGGCGCTCAAAGAAGTCCAGCGAGCCATGGAAGATTATCTAGAGGACGAATGTAAGGACGAGGGCGGTCATCACGCAGGGGAGATTTGTTGTTCCATGTTAGGTCAGATAACAAGATTTGCATCGACAAATGGCCTCTAAATGAGATCAAATGGGACGTGACACGCCCTTGGTGCGTACAACTGTGGGCGCCACTACATGACCGAGTGCATACAACTGTGGGCGCCACTACATGACCGATACAGACGGTGAAACGCTCACTCCGACATGCTATTCAGAACTTAGCTGGTGTATTTGTCACGATGATGAGGTGAGACGGGCATATCAAGACAAACTTATGCTCTTGTCTGTCCGACAGCACGACTTTCCGGCCTGCTTAGTCACACTATTCTATTGTCTATAGTCTTCAGTCTAATATATATATATATATATATATATATATATATATATATATATATATATATATATATAGGTGTGTGCTTGTTTATATAGATTTGTGAGTTTGTGTGTGTACAACCTGGGGTACCTTTTGGTGATATAATCTCAGAGTTACCGACAATCTTTGCTTCGACATTCCAGACGTGCCAAGTCCGGCTCTTGGGCTGGGCGCCTCGGATATAAGCAACGCAATGTGCCTGTCATCCGTATATTTTCGGCCGTGGTATTTGGCCATCGCACCGCAATGCCGACTCGTATCGCTGCGTATTGAATTGATGCAATACCGTTCAGCAATGCCCAGCTTTGATGCGTCGGTCTCGAAGCGCCGAGCAGCGACCCTCATCTGCTGCAGTCCGTCTCACCTGGCGCGTGTCTGTCCGCAGTGCAGGGACAGATCGGGTTCAGTGACAACGGTGCGAAGCGGCAAGACATGGACCACGTGTTCCTGCGGTTCGGCCGGGCGGCCGTGTAGTGGCCGCCGCAACGCCATCCGTCGCCCCCAGAGGCGACTTCAGCGCGTCGCCCCGGCCGGCGGCGACACCGAGAGGCGCGTCGCAATCGGATCAGGCGCACCGTAATGCGCGTCGCCGTGCGTCGCGCGCCCGCGCCAGGGCCGGGGGTGACGCGCGCGCGCTGTTTTTCGGGGCTGGCAGCGGCGTCGGGGGACCAGTGGGCGGCGCTGCTGTGCAGAGAAGCCGTAGCATCCCGACCGGACAAGCCGCGCCGCCGCGTCGCCGCTCGCCGCAAATGGCTTGGATGTCTAACATTTAGGATGCGTGCTCGAACAACTTCATTTGAGTTCTTGCACGCTTTGAAGGGGCTGTTTGACGGCTGGATCATGACAGCAGATTGCGAGGTGCGGTGGATGGAGTACGTGCTGTTGCAGCGCTTCCTTCGTCACGGTCGCACATAGCCAAATATCGTTTCCCCTGTGGAGCCGCACGATCTCAGCATCACGTAGTGAGTAGATTTACCTGTACGCATGACAGCGACATATTTTGTTGGTAATGCTGAGGCAGATGGATGTTTTCCTTAGCGGTGATATATTTGTTTCGAAGCTGCTGAAGCAGATGGATATCTTGTTTTGCTTTTGCTTTAAGTGTTGCCTCGCCCAGTGCGAATAGCTTTATTTTTCACATCATTAAATATGGACCGCATGTTCTCGGGATGTGCATGATTCTGACATATAACGAGCTTAAATCATGAATTACGCCGCTAAAGAGGCCCGTTGGTTTACAACGCTCGCGTATTTGTAGACAACTACATTGAAATAACAATGGCTACGTCGCGCTCGCCCGTCATCTCGTGTTTGGAGACGAATATACAGAGATAGCAATGGCCGCGTTGTGTTCGTTCGTTAATCTGAGAATAACACTCCCCTCGCCCGATATAACTGTGTAGAAGATAAAAAGTTCAAGTGATACAGTGCTGGAACGCTGTGACAGGATACACAAGCTGTCTGTACTGGCTGCCATTGCAATGAACAAGCTGTTGTCGCTGCGAAACACCGGCCTGGTGCAAGACAAAGTCGCTGAAATAATTTTTTTCTGACGGGAGTATAACTCCTGGATATACTCTGCTCCGCGTATCTATGGATACGCGGGCTGTTTATGGATACTATGTATATATACTATGTATATGTATGTGTATAACTATGGATAGCATTAATGCGCCGGTCATGACTTCATGACTTGTACATTTGTTTTCTTTTCTTCTTTACTAAAGGAACGGATGAGAGTGAGTTTGTCCGCCACATTTCTTTTGTTTCCCACCCAGGCCAAACGGTGGGAAATTTCGACGCGAGATTTTCACACGACCTTGTGTCGCCGGAAAGGCTGTCCGTGTGACGTCACTACCCTATAATTCGAAAAAAGTGAAGCGAGCGAGCGAGGCCAATTCACCGACCACCGGTCGACGGCCAGATACGTGTACCCCCGGAGCTATATCTCGACAACGACGGGTCGGAACGACACAACACCGGTACCGCCCGGGGCAGTTGCAGCAGCCCGTGTGCAGATGTCACCGGTGCAGCCCGGGGCAGTTGCAGCAGCCCGTGTGCAGCTGTCACCGGTGCCGCCCGGGGCAGTTGCAGCAGTCCGTGTGCACCTGTCACCGGTACCCGGCCCGGGGCAGTTGCAGCAGCCCGTGCGCAGCCGTCCCGGTACCCGCCAACAGTAGCCCGAGCGGCAGTGGTTCCACCGGTTCCATCATCAACGTCGTCAACACCATCGTCAGGCTGGTTCGCGTTGCATCAGCTTGTCTACTCCTGGGTTAAAGAAAGGCACTAAGGGGCGCAGGAAAAATCTGTCATTACAAGCAGCGTCCCGTAAGAAAAAAAACGCTGCTCGCAAGAGCTAAGACAGGTGCCGAATTGCAGACGCAGACGGTCAGTGTCCTAGGACTGCCGCCTTTGGGTGTAAGCCAACATCCTATGAGGAGGATTTCATGCATTTCCCCATTTAGATGTGAATTTTTCACTCCTACCTGATAGTTGTCTAACGACACATACCAAGCCCATATTTTCCTTTAAGAGGTTTTAAGGTGTCAGCCAAAACCGAGCTCGCTTGAAACCATCAAGCATAAACAGGGCTAACACAAAACCTGGACATCCATGGCTATATCCTGCCTCACGTACACTTAATCATGCTGTGTATGCACAGAGCAATGACACCTGGTACTTCAAGCCCGAGAGTCTCAGCGACTTAAGCCGCTTGCATGTATCAGGTTTGGTTTGTTTACAAAACGCATATCATTCTTCAGCTGTGTGCCAAATGTAAGGCTTTCACGCATCCCCAAATTTGTTTTGGACCACACACGCAAATACCGCGCTAAAGCAAGCCTGATACAAACACCAGCAAAGCCTGGTAGATAATTTGACTCCACGTATTTTTTACCCGAAAAAACTTGACCATTAAATTGCCCCCACTCCAAAATGTAGGAGCAACAATTCAAGAAATGCCTTTCTGCATGACACATAAAAGCTGAATATCACAATTTGAGCACTCCTTTTCACAGATTTTTAGTCAAGTCAGTTGATAACAAAACATGCCCAAACAACTCTGAGTATTTATATATATAATATATATATATATATATATATAATATATATATATATATATATAGATATATATAGCTCTCCTCTCTCTCTTCTCGTCCCTCTCCTCTCTCTCTCTCTCTCTCTCTCTCTCTCTCTCTCTCTCCTCCTCTCTCTCTCTCTCTCTCTCCCTAATTACCTTTGTTTTTCTTAGTCTCATACGTGTGTGATGCAACTTCATTTTTCCTTTCTTTCCGATCATCTTGAAAGACACCATCTATGACTTGAAATGTTGACCAATTTCTCTGCAAAATGCTACAACCGCAAGCTTGCATACATTTCATGCATACCTTGGATTAATTCACCAGCCGCCCAAACATGTTTGATATGCACCCAAGAGCAGACAATTCGTAGAAATGAAAGAATGATTTTAAGCACGGAACTTACTTTTTACGGCCATTTTTGCTTTGTTAAACCCTCAAACAGGTTCATGGCGGGGCTCAGTAAGAATGAATATAAGCCACTCCAGCTTCACCATCTCACCACGTTACATTATCCTGTTGTACATAGCTTTAGGGGAGGACCTGGCACAGGTAGTACAGAAGTGTTTGGCAGCGAAATGTATTTTAACCTTGTAGGTTTGTTTAGGCATGATTGATATGCATATTTTTGTGATGGGTTGGATGACCCTGTCTGTCAGTAAACCACGCGAAAGATGCTGACTTTTGGTGTGGGGAAGCAGAAAGAAGCCGCCTTTTTAATCAAATTTCTCGTGTGTAGCATCGAACTGCTGACCTTACCTGCTTATTCCATATGATTTGTGAGCAGATTTATGCATTTTCTGTGTAAATCTATCGAGTTCTGTTACAGGACAAATTATAATGCTGCAATATATGTAATGCAACTGTTTTCTTCCATACTCGTTATTATTTGCCTAAGTTTGTTGAAGTGGTCCCAGATGGCTACTTTAACAAGATGTTGTCCAAAGTTTGCCGACTGGCAATGACTGTACCGTAGATATGCGTAATATTTTTTAACACGGGTTTTCAAGCTGCAGAACAATTACAATATGAGGAAGATGTTGGTTTTTAGCAAACGGGGGTGTCCCATTTTTAAAGGTGAAGCCAACATCTCAAACTTCAGTCATTAAGTATTAATGACCAAACCTTAACTTGACCGCCTAAATTGCACCACTTCTGAAATGTAGAAACGAAAAATTCAAGAGATGTCTTCTGAATGAAATCTAAAAGCTGAATACCACAATTTGAGCACTCATGTTTTACAGCTGTTTAGTCAGGTTAATTGATTACCAAATTTGACAAACAGCTCTAAGTCTCTATATCTATTTAATCACTTTTGTTTTACTTGATCTCACACGATTGTACTACAAGTTTATTTTTCCTTCCTTTCCAATTATCTTTAAAGGACGCCATCCAGGGCTTAAAATGTTGACCAATTTCTCAACCAAATGTTCCAACTCCAAAATTGCATATATTTTATACAGACATTGGGTTGATTCGCCAGCCGCCAAAGCATGTCTGTTATGTACCCACGAGCGAGGAATTTGTAGGGAATGAAGGAGACAATTTGAAGCACGGAACTTGCTTCATTTTTTTCAACAATCCATTTTCACCGCCATTTTTGCCCGTAAAACCCCTAGATAGCCGTTTTTTATTCATGGCGGGGCCAGTATTGATAAATCTAAGCCACTCCAGTTTCACTGCTTTATCACGTTACATTATCCTTCTGTACATAGCTTTCGGACGGGCCTGGCGCAACTCAGCCCCCGCATTACTGCATTCTGGGTAGCAATGCTGTGGACGTCGTGGGACTGAGGCATATGGCACCAACGCTATGGCGGCGTGGAAACGCTGTTCTTTGCGGGCTGGTGTGGACATAAATCTGTGCAAAAGCCGAATTGTTTTCAACCTAGCACATCCAATGAAACATTCTCAACTGGGAAATGGCGTTGGTTTGCACCAGAGCCACACAGTTATTGCTGAAATGTGCTTCCAGCCTGCCTCCAACAGACAGATCGGGTAACCTATTCACCAGTGCAAACAGACATGCGCAATCATTGCCCATTAATTCACTTCATGTGAATAGTGCCTATGATGTTCATTTATTTACATCTAAATACTCCTTTAAAAAAAAAAAACGACGCTTAATATAGATACTTACGTCCCCTTGGCCCCGACGAATATGCCGCGGGTGCTGCAGCTAGAAAACGTGGTTTAGTCGGATTCCTTTTTGCACTGAGATGCTTATATTGATTTGTACTTAGAAGGGTTTAATTGCAAAATTGGGATATCTTTTCATATAACATTAAAATAGAGGTGTAGAACAGGGCTGATATCCAGTTCAAGAACGACATCACTGTTCTTAATCATGTAACTAGTATCTACCAACTTTTTCGCAGTATCAACCAAAGACCACACTGTGAGCTGCCAAACAAGTCCCGCGGTGACGTCACGCCTGCGTAGCCTTTTCTAGTAGCCGCGGTGCAGCTAATACAGAAGTGTTTGGTAGCGAAATGCATTTTAATCTTGTAGGTTGGCTGGCATGGCTGAAAGCTATATTTTTGGGTGGGTTGGATGACCCTGTCTGTCAGCAAACCATGCGGAAGATACCAACTTTTTGTGTGGTGGAGCAGAAATAAGCCTGCCTTAAGAAGCCATTAAGATTCTCCTGGCGAAGCAACTAACTGCTTGTCTTATCTGCTTTCATCACATGATTTGTAACCAGAATTGATTCATGTTCTGTTTAAATCTATCAAGTTTTCTTCATACGATAAATTATAATGCCACAAGACATGTAAATAAAACTGTTTTGGTTCGATAACTTGACAGTTTGTCTCAAGTTTGTTGAAGTGGCCCCTCACGTCTGCTTTAACAAAATGTTGTCCATAGTTGCCATAGTTTGCTGACTGGCAAATGATTGTACTGCAAAACATGAAACTATGT